GGACATTAATGTGTTATTTTATGACAACTTTCAAACTATCCCCACCCAAATGGATCACCCTATATTATTTTTGGACAAAACTCTATTAAGCGAATTCTTACTACATTTAACTCTATATAATAGCTGATATCTTATCAACAGAAATAATATGATTTACACCAAATCAATTATTTATATAAGAATTAATTTAACTAAACACAAACTAAGGATAATGTCGGCTTATAAAAATTAATAAAATCCAAATATTAATTATTATTAATTATTTATTAATCTAGTCTTATCGTTAAACGCTCGCTAAAATTTAACTTAACATAATAAACAAGATGGACCATCAGTGGCCAACGGTTCCGTTTCCAGAACACAGAGTTTGGTGGTAGGTTCGCACCTAGCCAGAACAGGCTGGCTACGTGCAGTTTTCTAGGTTTTCTCTACGTCTGTAACGCCTGAATAGGGACCAGTTACCCTTAAAAGACCTCCCGGAAGGCATTAGTCCCCGCGTATAAAACAAAAAATATATATAACTACAGCACTAACCACATGAAATAACATGTCCATCGAAAAATTTACCACGGGGCATCATAGCCTTTCCTTTTTTTTTTAAATGCTTTCTTTTTATTATAAATCACCAAACGATCGCCCAAATATCGGGCTATAATATGGCTAATTAAATGACTGGTATATATTTTGTGATTTATTTTATACTACTCGGGCTTTGCGATGTTATATGCTTTCTTTTTACTTATTTTACAAACTGCGATGTCATTTAAAACTAAGTGATATGAAATGTTACCTCAAATCTGCGAGTAAGCACAAGGCATCAATCCTTTCTTCCTGTAATGTAAATCCAAATGATTTTTCTATTATTGATCTGTGAAATAATTTATCAATGTTTTGCTCATTATAAAAGCCATACGCTAACATTAATATTTCCAATACATTCTACGTGATTGGCAATGACAGACAAACATGCAGTAGTACTTTGAGAGTATGAGCCAATGATTGATGCCAGTCACGTGAACAATACTGCGAACCAATCCTGATTCATCTTTGACGCAAAGGCATCAATCCTTTTCTTCCTGTTATGTAAATCCAAATGATTTTTCTCTGTATTATTGATCTGTGAAATAATTTATCAATGTTTTCATCTTTGTCGCAAATGTGTTGCAAAAAGAAAGTCTCTGCTATATTCATATTTAAATGCGCAACAAAAATTCGAAGCCTGGATCTTCGGCAGTGGCATAACTAGAAATTTTAATTTCTCAAGCACAATATGGTAAAGAGTCCTCCAATGCTTAGGTTCTAGCTCTTACAAGTTAGTCATGGGTCACCAAACTACGATGCACGCGGTCATCTTATCCAGCCCGCTGCCACACTGTGCCACAAATGAGCTAAAATATAATCATTTCTATGGAATTATCATAGTTTGTAGATAAAATAAGAATAAGTAAAAATGCCAAAATTAGTCTAATCTGATTTTTGCATCTGAGAGTAATATAATTTTTAGGAAAATCGGTGAAATACAAAATTCGGCGACTTTGTATATCAGAGCGCTTTTTGTGTAAGTACCTGCAATGAAGTTTCTAAGAAAGTCATTAGCGAGGATGCGGCCGACATTTTACAAGTTAGAGAAGGAAACGTCGCACAGTGGGACCAAATCCCAAAAAGCTGGCCAAAAGTCGAAAAATAGAGTTTAAGTTCCGGTAATTTCTAGTCGTGGGTTCGGTTGGATAAGAGTCCGAAGGTCGAATTCTAGACTTTAGCGCTTCCTATCCCTTATACCTGTTATTGTAGTTTAGTCGAAAGGGGACTCTCAATCAAGCTAGACACGTCAAGCAGTAAGCAAAGATTTCTACGCTATATTCAAGAGGGTGCCAAATCTATAAAAATCAATCGAATTTAAATTTAAAAAATGAAATTTGCAGCTGCAAGTAAGTAGAATATCATTATGTAACACAAAATTGATAATAATACTTTATGTGATAACAGTAAACGAATGATTTGTACGAAAATGAACGGAAGATTACAACAGAAAATTTTAAACATGTAGAGAAAAGTTCATAAATTCTGTAGAGTTCTGCGACTGGACCGATCGCATGTTGTAGATCGAACTATTATTGAATGAAAAAAATTAAAACTAGCTGCAACTAGCTGCAACTGTGTCATTGGTGCGAGTTCTTGCAATGTAAAACATAGTTTTCTGAATTTTGTACATTAATGACGCGGAATGTTTTGCTCTTTTTCTTGAATTTGTCTGGTGTTTTGAATATTGTTTGCATGTAGCATATAAGCTTGAAATCAAACTGTGGCAAGCGCATAGTGATAAAGAAAATAAAGAAATAAGATTCTGAAAAACGAATATACAGAAGGGTTTCCGTATAGAATTGGGTCTAATAGTCGATCAACCAAAGCCTGGTTTCGGTAGCTCGAATGATGAGAATACCGCTCGACAATTTTTCGAAAACTCAAGCATTTCTGCTGCTATTACAGGGGTTGATGAGGACTTGATTAAGCGTTTCCATGTCATATTGCAGACAATTTCGTGTGGCCATGAAATCGATTTCATAGAATTTCAAGATTATGCCTTACAGACAGCTCGTTACTTTGTGCAGTTATATCCGTGGTTCTGCATGCCAACTTCGGCACATAAGATATTGATTCATGGTGCAGAAGTGATAAATTCATCGGTATTGCCGATAGGGCAGATGTCTGAAGACGCTCAAGAGTCTACTAATAAATACATTAAAAAGTTTCGAGAAGATTTTGCAAGAAAAGTTCCCGAGTGAAAACAGTGGAAGACATTATTTTACGCCTATTATTAATATCCGATCCGTTTATTTCGAGTTTGTGCGAATTACCTCGAAAAAACTCAAAGTCATTGCTTCCAGAAGCAGTTTTATTGTTAGTTGCGCCATGTATACCAGCAAGTACAGGAGGCTCCAGCGATTTCAAAGTTGAATCATCTGATTGTGAATCAAATTATTCTTTGGATGTCGATGCATGAACTTTTAATCGACTGATTGTATGTTTTATCGTATTAATTTAAACAATATATAGATTTATTTTGTACTTTTCCTATAAAAGTGGTTTGTGTTAAATCCGTCATTTTGGTTTTATTTCAAATTTTGACTTCGGATTCGTAATCAGAGATCCCGAAAACCCTCGAATATTGACTTTCAGCCAAATTGATAATGCTTTTGACTTTTGGTCAGCTTTTTGGGATTTGGCCCCACTGTGCGTCGGCCGTAACTCGCTATTATGAGCTTGCTGCAGCTATCGTGTTTGTGTATTGATAAATAAATATGTTGGTTGTCTTTATTTTTTGTGTATTGTATACTGTATTGAACAAAATGATTATGGCCCCCGCTCGCCATTCTCTCAGTTATGTGGCCCGCTGTGAAAGCAAAAAAAAGTTTGGTGACCCCTGCTCTTAGTAATAACAAGTATGAAAAATACAATCGTGAAACTTAGGTATATCCTAGCTGTTACCTTCAGCTATTCGTGTTATTTTTCAACAAAATCTCCGCTCTTGTCTTTGGCCATGCGCCAGCGCATGTATGCAGGTACCGGTCTTGATCCTGTGCATGCAACCACTTCCTCAATGCAGTGACATCTTCATTTGACGAACTTTATCTCATGAAGAGCATTTTTCAAAGGACCAAAGAGGTAAAAATCGTATGGCGCTAAATCAGAACTGTACGGTGGGTGCGGTAATACTATAAAACCCTGTTTTGTGAGTCTACGGATCTGTTTGTGGACTCGCGATGTCATTGTGAAGAAGCAAGTCGCACGGACTCCTGGAGTCTGACACGTTGATAAAGCTTCTTCAGCCTTTTATCGTGGCGACGTAAGCCTCTGAGTTAATGGTGGATCCTTTAGACATGACATCCACCAAAATGACACCGTGAATGTCCCAAAACTCGGTGATCATAACCTTTCCTGCTGACGGAACGACTTTGTTTTTTTGTTTTTTTTTTCCTTCCGTGGTGAATGTGAATAGGCAATTCCAGCGATTGTCGCTTTTTTCAAGTTCAAAATGGTGCACCCACGTTTCATCTTCAGTGACAGTGCGAGCCAAGAACTCGTCACCATCAGATTCATAGCGTTACAAGAGTTCTGATGCAATGGTTTTCTTTGCTGTTTTTTGGTCGATCGCGAGCTGTTTCGGGACACATCGTGAACACACTTTGGTATACCCAAGTTCACGGGTGATTGATGAACACTCTCGGCATTGATGAACAAGCGTTCTTCCAGCTGTTAGACTGTAATGCCGTTCCTCCTGAATCGTTTCATGAACGCGCTGCATCATGGCTGCCGTGACAGCTTTGGCAGGACCACTTTGCACCAAATCCTATTGTCGTTGACTCCACACGTTTCGTCCAATGACTGATCATGCTTCGGTTGACAGCCGCAGTACCATAGACACCATACAATCGCTTGTGAATGTTTCCAACAGTTTCCCTTTCAGCAATGAAGAATTCTATCACTGCACGCTGCTTGCAACGTACGTCACTGACATACGCCATTTTTCAATTTGGAACATAGTGGATCTGTCGCCTGGTCCCACCATGTTTCAAATTTTTGGATCACAGTGGCTTGTGGCTGGTCTCACTATGTTCGAAATTTGAAACATAGTCGCCGTCGCCTGGTCCCACTATGTTCCAACTTTTCCACAACGTTATCAAAAGCCTTTAGGTACAACTCATCAAAAGTAGAGCTACATCGCAGTCTTCGTTTCCTAGATATAAATTATGGTGCATTACTTTTTGAACGACCCTTGTAGAAATTCTTTCGCAAGAACTCTCTTTAGTAGTGATTAATCGCATCCTTTTATTTAGACCAATTTAATTTTTCATTATGAAATACAAATAATAATTTAAAATTTTTCAAACAATATTTATTAAAATAAAAATTGTTAGGAATATATTAAATTTTTGACAAAAATAATTAATAAATAAAATTTTCTAAAAAGTTGCCAAGTTATAATTTTTACGCCAGGTGGGAACGTGTCCTGAGCAACGTCATCTTATACCGGTTAGCAGGAATATTTTGGTGTTTTGCCTTCAAATATTGTTTGTGTGATTTAAATGAATACTGTTTTGTCCAGAGCGAATGCAATATTTGCATTCACATTAAGTGTTCTAGCGGGGTTAACATTTCTATGTTTTTTGTCTACGGCATTTAACAGTTATCAAGCCAAAGTTGTTGTTCGATCCGACAGAGCTGTCGTGTAAGTATTGAAAATCATTAGAAAATATCATTAAATATATCTTTTCCAATGTATAAAAATATAAATGATGCAAGGGCTGTATACATTACAATATAACATCACGTGAATGCAGTATATTGTCTGAATGAATTTCAATAGAATATGTGATGATATTGAGCTTGAAAATGGAATTAGATAATGCTTATCCTTTTAATTAACACCTCTTGAGGTCAGTGAAGTATCATATGACATTAATAAGTTGCTGCACTTTGAATGTAATGTTTGTAACATATTGTTGAATTTCTGCTCAGTTTTATAAATTTTTGGTAAGAGTTACTTTCAGGTCATTTTGCTTATGTATATGTGGTTATATACAAATTACATTAATTGTTCGATAAGTTAACATTCTCATCATTTTGATGATAATTGCAATATAGTATTTTTCTCTCATTTAGGTAAAGATATGAGAAAGCAGATATAAAAAAAATACATATGTTATATATAGATGTGAAGGTTGAGTTAAAATGACAAATAATGACTTTTGAAATTTATTTTGTATTAGAATAATAGAAGAAAATAGAGTAATAGAATAAAATTAAAGGAGAAATCTGTGTTCATATTACAAAAATACATAGGGATAATTGATGGATGATTTCTCCAATAGTGACATTGGATGATGTGTTCGGCTCCACAGTTTGGCAGTATTTTATCTGCATAGGATGTTAGAATTATAAGCTATCCCACTGTGAACAAAAAACTAAGAAGAATCTTGAGTCTAGGTGTAATTCCTCATTTTTCATTAGTTTTTCTTGCATCTTTACTTGTTTTGTCAGATATGTCCAAAACTTGATCTCAGTTTTTAAAGATTTCTCTTAATTGTTTTCTGTGAAGATCCTTATAATATATATATAATATATATTAGTGAATACTTTAATTTTGTTATGTGATATACATGACGCATCTACCTTGTACATTTTGACAGCAATTAACTTCATGTTGTCTACTACTATTTGACAGCAATTAACTTCATGTTGTCGTATAAGTATTTTTAGTCTTATGAAGAGGAAAATGCTAATTTTAAGCTGTTCTGATTTTTTGATTTTAAGTTTGTTACTTTTTGTAAATTATTCAAGAAGTTTTAGAGAGCCATGTTTCACAAAAGATTATTCCCAAACTCATGATATCGTTTTGTTCGTGTAAGTATGATTACAACTTTGGCAGTGTGTCAATGGTGCATGCACAGCATAGATAATATCTTGCTTTTTAAACAAAATAAGATTTCGTATTTGAATTTAGAGTGACAGTAATCCTATTTAATATATTTTTTCGTACTCTGTATGGTTTTAGTATTGAATGTGTTAATGCCAAATGATGATACATTTTACTTAGAAATCCTAAAAAAATGAATCTCTGCTTTCTGTAAAGTATAGTATCATTAAGTAAGTTTTCATTTAATAATCAGCCAGTTACAAAGTTAAAAAATATATATTTTCATTAGATTCAATTTAAAAATTTACTTATCATTTACGGTTTTTAGAGAGAGAAAAATGCTTTACATTTACATAAATCCAAATAGTATTTTGATAGAAGCGTGATTTGTATGATGTGTATCAAATATTTTATATATATTGACTGTGCATAAAATATTGGATTTAAATAGACAGGAAAAGTATATATTTATATATTTTTATAAAAATCTTTATACTTTTATATCTCACTCGCTATACTAAGAAACTTGCCAAACATATCAAGTATATAAGGGATTGAGAGATCGTTATTTTCAAATATCGGTTCGTTCTAAACACATTTATCAAAGTTGTAGAGTCATTTACACCTTCACATCCACGACTAGTGCCAGATATTCGAACGTCATTATAATGAAGAATGAGTTTTGTACTCTTGCGAAAGAAGTGGGAAAATGTGTTGAATAACAATATAAAAAATGTATCCCTCTCACTCTACCATCTTTGTGAACATTAATCGTTTGCAGCCGTTTCTTCTCTTGCTTTTCCATTTAGTATATATTCTTACCTTACAAAAATTGACAGTGTAGAAGATTAGCGACTTCCAACAGTGACATGCTTGATCCTTAAAAGTGCAATACCTGGTAGAAATGTAACCAGACTTTATGTGTTTCTCGCAAATATCCATTGATAAAGTATTTTTCGTTGAAATCGTTTCTGTCTCGTACTACAATTCTCAGTTGGAGTCGATAAATCAGGATCTTTAAAATGTATTCTAGGAAATTTTATGTCTGAAGAGATACTGTACACTTGTAGTGTAAATGTCGAATTTGAAGAGAAATATACCCCGGATCTCCATTTCAGATAAGCTTATTGTGTGATTTTTCACATGGAAAAATACACTTTAAAACGTTTTCATCTTTAAACGTTAGTGGCTTCTTATATAATAACTTAATTAAAATTTTAACTAGTTTGTTGTTTTTTTCCCTTCTATTTCCACTGGCAATAATTTATTTTGTTAAAGAACGTAACACGAGTGTAAATTAGTGAAGCTGTTGCTGAAGAATAGAAAGAGCGAATGTTTTTTTTCATTTTCTAAAGGATATTTAATCAAATTGTTTATTACAAGAAGCATCCTTTGTTCTTTAATAAATGCCTTAAGAATAAATTTAGGTATTTATTAAACTATATACAAAATTAGTTGGAAGTGTATATAATATATTACTGAATTTCGTTTTAAATAAATCGATAATTTAACTAGATATAACTTAATGTTGCATTTATGGCTTAGTATTAAGCATCCTACTAATTTATTTATTTATTTTTTCTTTTTATACTTAAATAGAAATATATTAAATTAGAAAAATGTATTCATTCTTTATTACGGCAATATACTTTAATGGTTTAATTATCACAAATAATTAAAACATGCAAATAACTAATTATTCTAATCATATCTTAATTACNCAGACAGATATCCTTTAATTTTATTTTTAATATACATATATATATATATATATACATACATACATATATATATATATAAATTCTTTTTTGTCAAATTAAAACAACAAACAATATTACTTATCTATATACAGTGGTGCCTCATATAATGTACTTAATCCGTTCCAGGTGCATGTCCATTAAGTGAAAAGTTCGTTATACGAAATGCATTTTCCCATAGAAATACATGTCATATAATTTGTTCCGCAGCATAAAATAACCGTACTATACCATTAAAAAAATGAAAATGGAGCAGTCACCAATTATGCCGGGTAGTCAGAGTTGTGAGGAGGAAGTGAAGGAACACTTTCTTTACACATTTATACAGATACAGACTTTTTACACATTGCAGCAGGTCTCCTTTTATTGTTTTTTAATCGGAGATAGATTCACGAGAGGCTACCAGAGCTTGCAGGGTCATCTCCTCTTGTTCCATCCTTTGTTTTTTGGCAGCTTGCTTCTTGAAAAACATGTCCAAAGTGGTCAACTCCTCTTGTTCCATCCTTTGTTTTTTGGCAGCTTGCTTCTTGAAAAACATGTCCAAAGTGGTCTGTTTCTCTGTCTTCTTCAACACCTGTCGAAACTGATGGGCAAGGGTGTCATTGTAGAGATCATTGATCCTGTTAGCCTCAGCTCTGTTTGGATAATGAGTGTTGGTAAACTCCTGAACCTCTCCCCATTTGACAAGGAAGTTTTTGTCAACTTTCACTCCTTCTGATGATTTCTTGCTTTGTTTCAATTGAAATCACCTTTCTGTTTTTTAGAAGCCATGATTTGCACAACACTTGAATAAATGTAAATACCCTGCACTGAGGTGATGTACATAATGAACAAGGCAGCAAGCCGAATCCCAACGGGAGCTCTGTACTTCAGATATAATAACAATATATTCTAATAATACTAATATATTATAAAAATAGTGGATTGTCATTGGCAATGGCAAAAGAGTGGAAACATCATTTGCACTTGTTTGCAGAAAGACCATTGTTCGCCTTACGTAACTGCTGAACGGAAAGTCCGTTGTTCGCAGCCAGTTTGTTGCTTGAGTCATGTAACAACCAAACAGAAAGTCCATTGTTCGCAGCATCCGTTATTCGAGGCATATGTTATATGAGGCACCACTGTGTATATATATATATACTTACACTGTATATATACATACATACATACATATATATACAGTGTAAGTCTGGCTTTGGTAAGTATATATACTTTCTAGGGTGTAAGTCTGGTTTTGGGTAGCTAATGGGGTTTGATTTGGAGAGAGCCATTGTCTTTTATGTTTGGGATTGTCATAAAGGAGCCATTTCTCATATCCAGTCACCATGCAATCAAGAAGCGCTTCTGATTATGTTGTTGCAACAACAAATTACAGGTGATTGAACAATTAGTTTTGTTGAACCCAAACACCTTCTATGTTAACTTTACCAATCTGCTTCAAATGTTCTTGAATGATTGACCAAGGTGTGTTAAGCTTATCTGATAACTCTTCAATCGTTTAACAAGGATTTGCTTCCACTTCTGTCCATAAAACATCATTATCAAGAGACACTGATCTTCCTGAATGAGGTGAGTCACAAAGATCAAAATTACCCGACCTCAACCTAGCAAACTACCCATGGCATTTACAAACATCTAATGTGGCTGGATAAACATCACAAATGTTTTTTTGTAGCTTTTGTTGCATCACTACATTTCTGAAACTTGAATAACATGCAGTATTGAATATGTAACTCTTCTGGTTTTTGGCTTGACATTTCAAACAGGGATGTTATAAAAATGAAATTCTTTTGTAAAACAAAAGAAAAGAAGTAACTTTCACTTATAAAAAATATCTTGCACCACAACTTCAGCATACACAATAAACTGAGTAGCATTACATAAATGTTGATATGTGCAAAAACAACATTACTTTCTGATTTTCCTTATAATTATTATTATTTATATACACTTTTCTGTCAACATGCATAATAGAAAATGAACAGAGCTTTTTAATACACATTCTCAGAATTTTAAAATTGTTCTTATATACTGTGAATATAACTAAGTACAACA